CTCTCGTCCAATAGATTCGAGGATGTTGATTGCCTTCGTGCTATCTTTTTATTTTGTAAATATGTATACATCGTATGCGTAGAGGGAATGTTCCACTCTTGGTATGGAATGCCATTCATTAGCGCAAAGGAATCAGAGACATGATTGTTGATTCTAACTTTAAACCGCCGATGCGACATGAATGATTTGATGTAGTGAAAAATTTGGGTCCAACATTCCATTATTCCAAGAGTCTTAAAATAATATGAAGACCAAATGCTTTGTCAAATGCTTTTTCGAAATCAATTGAAAGAATTGTTAGATGGTTTTGTTCGGAAATTGCTTTGCTTGTAAAATAATCAATATGTAACAGAGCGTCGATGCACCCTCTACCCCGCTTGAAACCAACTTGTTGCTTTGTTATCAGGTTCTTGGACTCAAGAAACCAAGATAATCTAGATGCCATAATCTTCTCTAATACCCTTTAGAGGCAAGATAAAAGAGAAATTGGGCGATAATCTGATGCGATGGAGACATTTTTTGACTTTGGAATTGGAACAACTGTTGCCAGTTTCCACATGTAGGGTATATGACCAGTCATAAATGCCGTATTATATAGGTCCAGTAATTTCTTTTTACTAGACTTAGGCATAGCACTGATCATTTGGTATGAGATGCGGTCTAGACCAGGTGTCTTCCCCTTCAAATTGGAGAGACAACTTCCAAGTTCTGAGGTAGATACGCAATTTTCCAGGAACATGGCACATCTATCGATATTATTTGAAAGAGGTATTGGAGTCCTTTTATTTTCGATGAAAGCACTGGAGAAGTTGCTGTCAGAGGAGTATTCACACCACACTTTTCCAAAGTAATTAGAAATCTCATCTGCGTCAGTTAAAGTTCCATTGGGAGTGCAGATGGCAGAAATTTCGTTCAGGTTTGAAGTCCCATTAAGTCTGTTGATTTTGTTCCAGACAACTTTCATTGATGTATTTCTGTGAATTCGTCTCGAGAAAAGTTCGAAACTAAGTGCCTTTGATTTCCGTAATTCCTTCC